TTATTATTATTTTGTGTTCAAAACTCCCGCGTTCGCGTGCGGATTCCGTATTTTACGACTTCTGTGCGAGGCAGGTCAAAGCTGCCATGGCAACTGCTGCTTGAAAAGCATGTTGCGACACTCGTGTGAAATCACACGCTGGGTACTGTGCCTAGAACGCCCATTCGTGAAAAGCCATGTATACCTCGTGTGAAACGGCCCTAATTAGTTCTCATGTGTTTCTTCTCTTTTTTTACAAAATAAGTTCAGTTTGAGTTTGATTTGACTGAGTTACAACGTGGTTAAAGATTCAAACTAATGTGAAGTGGCTCCTGGTCTGGGTTCAAGTACATGTACTCACCCATGCATGAATTCAGGTAGGAGACGGCTTGGCTGTCGGGCTGGAGTAGCACGGACAGTAGGACGTGGTCCGAACTCTGTATGGTGCTTTCGTCGACAGGCGGTGCAAGTCGGCTCATCAAGTCTTCATACTTGCTGATGTCAGTACTGCTGGCATTGGGTAGTGAGAGCTGCAGCCATCTGGACATGCAGCTTTCTTCGAATCCAAGGACACCATGAAGGTACGGAGCAGAGCAAGAGTACCATATTATAATCAATCATTTTAAATACCGGTATGTAACAAATATCATGATCAGCATTGTCATTGTTATGGTGGAAAATGTCTTGTTCACTGGTTTGAGGGAAAGACGTAAACGGGAAGAGTCTGAAGAATGAAATCGACTGTCACCGCCATGCAGACTCGAACTGTGGCAACCATTTCACCATTGCCACGGATTTCTGCATTGTGACCCTCTACCTCTTTGAAATGATGCCAGTAAGTCCAGAGCCCTTGCTCATCATGCAATACTTCTCAGGATTGAGTGTGATTCTAGCAGATAGCAATGTTGAGAGGAGAGCAATTTTGAAAGCCAGCTGCATAACTAATCTGATTATAGCAATTTCTCTACTCTATTTCGAGGGGGAAATTGATTCAATTGAATACAGTCAACTTTGCGATCACGGTTCCCGTGCCCGATGAAGGTCGTGATCTTCACTGAGCACTTCACTGAGCACGGGAAACGTGTTGGTATTCGCGATGTTCATTATTCGCGACGTTGAACGCATGCAGCTGTACTTGAAGATACTGTAGTGTCTATAGTCGCACTGTGTTGTTTCAGAGCGTTATTCTCAAGATGGCCTGTGGCAATCAGAGCTTCTTTTAGCCGAAGAATTTATTCGCGAGGTTCACTGTAGCAAGAGCATACTCTTGACTGTACTCCTAAAAGTCATTCAATGTCAGCAGTTTGAGAAGGGTGGGATATGATCACACGGCGGGGTTCTGACTTACCTGATTGTCCATAGCACTGCTCGCAGGTGAACGTCAGCACCACGCACGCAAACACGGCAGCAGCACATCGTAGCGCTCTGTGAGGCAACATAATCGTTCGCTCCGCACCTCGATAACGACTTGGTTTCGCAATTTCGCAGCCCAGGGCACCCGCAACCGAGTCAGCCGGCAGTTGTGCGAAAATAGCTTCACGCTCTCGCTCAAGTAGTGTCGCTAAACGGAGGTGCTGTGCGGTCAGGAGCTATCGTAACCTGGCCTCAAGTTTCCTCTTTCTGCCTGGTATTTTCTGGATCTCATTACAACTGAAAAGGTAAACAAATGCGTCGAAAATGTTTGCTCAGAGTTCATCCCGTCAGCTGTGCTGGCGAAATCGCGATGCACAATACATGAATAGTAATTTTTAGTATCCTCCTACTACGTGATGCGCTCCGATTTGGGACCGGCGGATTCTGCTCGAAAAGGTGGCAGATTCTGCTCCAAAAGCAGTAAAATTGGCAGAAGAACCATACAAACCTTATGGCGGGCAATTCCTCGAATTCTGCTGCATTTCTTTATCCACATGCCAAACATGCATGAAACTTACCAGAAAAAGTACCGAATTCTGCCAATATTTCTGCCGGCAGAATCCGCTGGACCCTAGCTCCGATGTCAGCAGCTGCTGGCATGTATTAATGTATAGGGCTTGAAAGTGATGACGTCAAAACGGCCAGGGAGTAGTAAGTTGACATCAGATTTCTATTTTTGGATCCACTAAGGTGTGACTTTGCTATTGCCTAAGTATGTGGGTGCATAGCAACCCACTCATGTCGCATGCAGGTGTGACTTTTATTTCGCCACCAGTTGTAACCCCGCCCCACTAGCCAAATCAGTCAGTTTCACTGGCTACATCACCATGCTGTGGGTAAGACCGCTTGAAATGTGCTTGGATCCATACAAAAACTGGATCCAAGTGGATCCAGTTTTTGAATTTTTGAAATTGTTGCTATGCTGTGACGTAGCACTTTCAAGCCCTATTGTACAAGTACATGCATGTTCTTGTTGGTATGTATTTCTTTATTTTGAATTCGCAAGTACACGCGGGCTATAAGCTTACATGGAAGCGAATGTGAGAATGGAGTTAAAGGTCGGATTAGTAGGTCTGACACACAGCGTCAACTCACTACCGCTCAGTAGCAACAGTTGGTCGAGCTTGACAGCAGTCGTGACCAGTTGGCAGCAGTTCTGTTGGTAGCAGTTGGTAGCAGCATTATCTGAGCTGCCTGCTTTTAAACAGCTCTGTGCACTCCTAGGTGAATACGTGTGCAAGAAATCAATAACAGCTACATGTACATGAGGATGTACTGTATACGACGCATGGAAATGAAACAGATCCGTAGGACCGAAATGATTCGCTCCGTCACCCCGCGATGTTAGCTACAATGTAGGACTGAATGCAAGTACATGTACATGTACCGTATTTTCCGGGGTATAAGCCGCACCGGGGTATAAGCCGCACCCCCCTTTTTGAGGCAAAATATTGACTAAAAGTTGGTATTCGGAGTATAAGCCGCACCCACAAACCAAGATTTTTCACACTCATTGACAAATGGCCTTTCTACAAATTTATTATGGTTATGGAGCTAAATACCATGTTAGATCAGATTATGAAAAATAGAGTCCCCGTATACGCGTACCGTATGGTGTAGCCCGCGCACTAAAACTAGTAAAAAATGTTTAATCTTGCCCGTAAAAGAGGCTGTTTTTGATGAGGCCAAAACAAAAAATAGGCTTGTTTCCGGTCGGCAACCCCTCAAAAAGGAGACTCGGTCGGCCGGAATGAAACTTTTTTTGGATACTTTTTTTGGTTCCTCAATCGTTGTGGTATTGATGGACAAGAGGACCTAGCACCTAGTACCTACACATGTACATTATCATGGCAAGGGTCAATGTCAAAGTTGACTGACTCACTGTTCTTGTACAGCATGTGGTGTATTCCTGTTTTCGTACATCCTGAGAAATCAAGCAAACAGTTTGAGTCCATCCAGCTCCGTTATTCTAGCTCGTATCGACCCCGGAGGTTTTCGAGCCCACAGCTGAGAATCTCTGCTACCTTGTAGGTGTTTCGATTGTGGAATTCGGTTGAGATTTGACTGAGTTATGACTCGTTGAGTGGACTTGCGCACATGGCATTGCCACCGTTTGTATACATTTGGGACCAAAAAAAAGTTTCAGAATTTGGGAAAAAGTGACCCGGTCGGGCGACCGGAAACAAGGTCATTATTTGTTTTGGCCTGATGAAAAAAAAAACTAAAACTAGTAAAAGTGCCGGGATAGCAACACAGGCGCGAAGCTGAGTCGAATGACATGTCACATGACGTCAGCATGCATACTGATGTATGCATGCTATGCATTCATTCGCGCAAGCATATTCGGTGTATAAGCCGCAGTGGCGATTTTGGTCCGATTTTTAGGAAAAAAGTGGGGCTTATACCCCGGAAAATACGGTAAGTATATTGTTCAAATCGGCCGGTGTAGATGTACGCATGAGATAGTCAGGATGGCCAGATGACTAATAGTGCGCATAGTACTTTGATTTCTTCCGTTTTTATTCCTGTCAACCACCACACCACACCACACCACACCGCTGCGCTCTCCGGCCGACCTCAACACGTTGCCACAGCACACCATCAGCTGCAAAACGACACACTGCTGTGGCAACGTGTTGAGGTCGGCCGGAGAGCGCAGCGGTGTGGTGTGGTGGTTGATAAGAATTTGGACAAGGCCGAATGCTGCTACTTACCCCTCTTGATTCCCGCCTTAACTTGCCGTGCACCCCCAGGCGACACCCTCCGACGGCTTATGGCTTTGCCGTGTCGTCTGGGTGGGCTCGGTTTGATTAACCCTGTGTCCCTATGCCAACAATACGACTCGTCGGTTCGGATGACCAACCCTTTGTCTCGGAGAATCTTGTCAGGGGATGGCTCCATCGGTGACTCGGTAGTGTTAATCAGATCGGCCAAGAGAGACGCCAAGGCATCTTCTCGACGTCATCAGAAACTGGAATTCGACGCGATATCGGGCAGTGCGTCGGAGTCGCTACGACATGTCATAGACGTCGCGAAGGAGAAAGGGTCGTCGAGCTGGCTGACGTGCCGTCCACGTAAGAAATATCATTTTAATTTAACAAAGGGAGAGTTTTGGGACGGACTCTGCCTCCGTTACGGATGGACACCGGCCAGGGTACCGTCACACTGCTCTTGCGGCCAAGAGGCAATGTCGCGCATTCCCTGTCGTGCCCCTATGGAGGGTTTCCCTCCATTAGACACAATGGTATTCGGGACGTCACGGCCCGGCTGCTGGACGAGGTGTGCACCAGTGTGTCCATCGAGCCCTTCAGGGGCGTAGGCAGGATTGTGGCTGAGGGGGGTGCTCACTGGAAGTGTGGGCCTGCGGGAAAAAAGGGGGGGGGGTCCGGGGGCCCTCCCCCGGAAAAATTTTCGATATTGAGTGCCAAATCCTTCATTTTTGCATCTATTTCATTATTTTCCATTCCACCAATGATTCAATAAAAAGTCAGATAATCGTATGAAACGCACAGTACTTTGCTACAGAAGTTGGATGGTAAGAGATTGACAGAGTGTGGTTAGACCCAGAATATAATACAGACAATTGTTGAAGTTCGTTCAATCCACGCAGACTCCGCCGGAAAGCGAAGGGCTAAACACCAGCCATGGCTTGTATACATCGAGCCAGCGGGGCTGAAAAGACCGGCCACCATTCTTCGGGAAAACAAACGAACTATCCGGTTGGACATGGTCCTTTAGCAGGGCAAACATCACGTCGTCGTCGAGCGGTGCACCCTTCGCAATGTCCTCCATAAAGGTACCGATGTCATTTCGGACGACTGCTACTGGTACAGCCAAGGGCGACAACTGCGGCTCTTCCGAGTCTTCGACTTCGACAATTTCGCAATTAGATTCGTCAGATTCGGAAATGGCACTGGCACTGCTGCTACTGGTATCTGGTCTCTTCGACTTCCCTCGACTGAAATACTTCAAGATCGACATTTTCATAAGAATCCATTCGACTTGCGGATCACAAAACGACGTTGCCACTTCTCTTTCACTTCTACCAAGTCTAGCTACACAAAGTGCGAGTCTATACCGGTAGTTGTACAACGCACGTGCAGCGCAGCGTCTTGTCGACGTCGAGTCTCGATCGCGGGCGGGCGTAGATCCACAGCAGTACGAAAATGGCACCTGAAATTTTTGAGGGGGGTGCTTGGGCACCCAAAGCACCCCCCCTGGCTACGCCACTGCCCTTGCTGCAACCGCTGACGGGGGAGCGTCTTCGCTACCGGACCGCAAATGTGGAAGACCGTGCCCGGTTGGATGTCGCTGCGAATGGTTTGTGGGGCAGTCGTTTTGAGCGTACACTTATTGATTATAGCAATAAAAACTGCTCTATGGCAGTTTTCTAAAAAAAGTTATTGTGTTCTAGTCCATGGACCCCGTCTAAAAAGTAAGAAATTAACGAAATGTGATAGCCGAAAATTAAAATTTCACACAAAACCTCACAATAATCACAACACTTTAAATGCTGCTTTCAACCAGGGAGTAGTACAATACTACTCCCTGCTTTCAACACTAAACTTGTACTGCACCAACAATTGGCAACATGCATGTCATGCATGCATAGGAACTAGGATCACGAGGGGAAAAGGTCTTCTACATGTAGCTTTTCATTCTGTGTGTGATTATTGTGAGGTTTTGTGTGAAATTTTAATTTTCGGCTATCACATTTCGTTAATTTCTTACTTTTTAGACGGGGTCCATGGACTAGAACACAATAACTTTTTTTAGAAAACTGCCATAGAGCAGTTTTTATTGCTATAATTTCTTTTGTTTTTTCTGTCACCAATCAATGGAATGCCCTATATCAATATGTATGATGGCCTTCACATCATATCAATACCGTATTATACGCATTGATGTGAAAGCCTTTTCTTGCAGAAAATGGCACTAGCATAATGCATGTTCTTCTGCGGGGAAACATGTGAGTAGTGGTGGACCGTGGTGATACTTTTTCAAGTTATACGGAGGTTATATACATGTATGGAGGTCATTCTGTGCATGTTGCTGTAGCAGAATTTCATGACTCTGTCATAAAATTGTCTTGCCTTTCAGATATTTCAGATTTCCCTACCCTCGATGAGATTTATTTGAGAAATGTAACCAGGTGCGTGTCGCAGATGTTTTTGTTGATTCTGTGTTTATAATGGTTTATATTCATGGGTTT